TTCTCAATTTTAGTCACCTAACTTTAATTCTTGAAGGTATATTATCATTTTTATTTATTATTATTTTGATTAATAAAATCAAAAGTCTTACTTATAGCCTATGATGCATGGACACGGACACGACACAGACACGGCACGACATGGCGACACGGACACGGCTTTTTTTGAAAATATAGGACACGGGTACGGCGCAGACACGACAATACTTTTTTTTATATAGTGTATATATATTAATGTAATATCATATTAAAAATGACAAACAATAATAAATGAATGACATGATAACTTGTTTAGTTTATAATATAAAATATTTAGTACAAAATATCTAATATAACCACAAAAATATAAGCAAATAATCACTTACTATAAATCAAACATTCAAGCTTCAACTACTAGGATTAGCTTTAGAGGTTTGTTTTTGGCCTTCAATATCATCATCATTGAATATCACTACTTTAAACTCTGGTTCAACAAGAGAAAGATTTATAATTGTGCAAAAAGAGAGGAGATGAAAATACCTTCACTGACAAATAGAAATGAAAATGAGAATATTCGATGAATGGGTATTAAATGCAGACGTTGATTTGGTGTTGTGGATATGAAATAAGAAATTTAGTTTAAATCTCGCCAAATATAAGAAATTATATTTAAAAAAAATTAAAAAATATTTAAGATACGCGTGTAGGTCGGACACGCGTGTCCAATTTGTTTTTAATATTTTTTTAATCGGACACGTTTTTGGCGTGTCCGACACGTGTCGGAGGAGTGTCGGACGAGTGTCGTGTCGGACACGGTGTCGGACACTGCACGCCTCTTTGAGGAGAAGTGTCGGTGCATCATAGATTGTAATCCTTCATGATCTATCAAAGAGGCTTTTAGCATACTCATAGTTTTCCTAAAATAAAGTTTGAAACGTTTGTAATGTCATCAATTTAGAGTTTTAATAATAATCAGTTTCAGCTATGTGTAATTTCAAACATCAGAATTTAGTCATATATGATTCTAGCAAAATTATATCTATTCAAAATGAAATTTTAATAAAATATATTGTCAAGAAAATATAATTTCAGTGAAGTACTTTTTACAGCAAATAACATTTCAAAGAGATATATTTCAGTAAATAACATTTCAACAAAATATATTTCAGTAAATAATATTTCAGCAACATATATTTTGATGAAATGGAAATTTCAGCATACTTATGGATTTATAAAAGATGTTTTTACATAAAATTTTAATTTCTTCTTGCAAGATAAAAATGAGCATGAGAGGATATAAGAAGATTTTCTTCTTCCTCTTGAGTTTCAAAGAAATATAAATGTTGGAGGAAAAAAAAAAGATTGAAATGACATATTCTTACTTCAACTATAACAATTTTATAAATCTATTGCTTTATACCTCACTTAGATTACAAATAATTATACTTTTCCTCTTGATTTGACGGTTGAAGAGAGAAGAATCGACTTACTCATTTCTCCTTAGCCGAATAGGAAAAGAAGATAGCAGCTCCTCTTGTTCATATTTTTCCTTGCTTTGGGTCTCTTTTCCTTGCTTGAGGGTTGTAATCGAGCGAGAAGTGGCCAACAACTTTTGGATGAGATGGAGAGTAACTTAATCTTGCTTTTTCATTCTCTTTTTCCAAAAATTACTCTAATGTATGATAGAACAAAAGCTCTTTCTTTCCTTGCCATTGAACCAGTTGCTTTTGCATGAGAGGGAGAGGACAGACGAGTGAGAGTATCTCGCCCAAAAATGTAGGCATCCCCTCAATTTTCTCTTGGTTGAGCTGCTGCCGCTTCCTGTTTTCCCTTAACAAAAAAAAAGTAAGAGCTAGCAGCCAAGAGTTTCACGAGAGAGGGAGGACGACACCAAAATGGAGAGCCATAAAGAAGGGGGAGTGATAACCAACTACCCCTTTTCTTTCTTTGAATAACCTGGAGAAGCAATGGAATGCAGAATAACAAGTCTACCAATACAAACCCTTGATCAGATGGCTGATATAGCGTCTTCTATTGCCATTTAAAAATAAGAAAATAGTGTGCTGTCCTTGGTGCTGAATTTCAGTCATTGGATGAGAAAATAACTTGATTTGGAAAGATATGAAGGGAAGAGGTTGAAATGTTTTGCATTCATGCTTAATTTGACATTATATTTTCTTTTCTTTTATTTTATATTTTGAGTGATAAATTTTATTTATTAAAATTTTATTTCATAGTTCATTTAAGATTTTTATGTGACTTTAATTTATCTTATTTATTATGAAAAGTCCTTAATGTCCTCTCTCCTCCACACATATCAAATGATATCCAATTTGAGCACGAAGACTTATTTAATCCGTCTTGATACGTCCAGGACGTAACGGTGCAATCCGTTTCATAGGATAAAGTCCCATCGAAAAAATTTACACAGGACGGATATGTGCATAAGAGGTGAATTGACGTACAAAATATGTAATAAGGTTTTGCAAGTGATCGATGTAAAAAGGAGGTCAACAAGGTGCACATCAAGGTTGGCACTTAAGTATTTTCTTAAGCAAGGGTTCAAATGAGTTTGTGAACCATGATGTAATCATGTTGTTGCATTTATTCCATAGTACAGATTCTATTGGTTCTATTTTTGAAGGCAGCTCAATGAATTCATTGACAAAGCCAATTTTTTTTGGTTGTAAGAGCATGAATAATGGATTTACTCCATGATGGTTAATTGGTGCCATTCAAATTTGTTGAAACGGGCATGTGACTGGGGTGACCGTAATGATGAGTGAATTTTGGGGTTGATGGATCAATAATGAAATAGATATTTTTGGTGTTTGAATTTTGGGAATGTGATTTCTCTGATTGTTTTTTATTTGCATTTGTTATGGTATTTGCAGGCTCATGGCACTTTGAAACGGTCAAGCTGTTTGGCACCATGAGGATGCTCTGATACCATTTAGAATAAATAAAAGGCTTATTGAACAAACAATAGAGAATTGGTTGATTACTTTTCTGGTCTATCTTCATTAACTCGAAACTGTGGAGTGAAAGTTCATTCTTATCCAATTTGATGGAGATTTGATCGTGGGCCATTGTTGATGATCTCTTTTCTTATTTTATTCTTCTTTTTATTCTTTGAATTTGGCTTTTGATTTTTGTTTTGTTTATTGAATTCTACCATTTTGGATTTGAGGGGATTGGATAGAAAGAGGTTTGAGAGAGAAAGAAGGAAGAGGATGTTTTGGTCCATAGGGTAAAACTTAGAAAAATTTACTTGGAATCCTGCCCAGAAAGTGAAAAATTGATGGGACTTGTGAATTTTGCATGTGAGAAGTTTTGTGAGTTGATTTCTAGGGACCTCCATATGTATGACTGGAGAGAGGAGAAATTTTATAGGTAGAGGAAACTACATATGTTGAATCCATATTTGTTCGATGGATGATGCCCGTCCATACTTTATGGGTTTAGCTGTGAGCTGAGACTGAGAGCTTGTAGGTGAAGACGATGAAGAGAGAGAGAGAGAGAGAGAGAGAGAGAGAGAGAGAGAGAGAGATTTAGACCAAATCTTTATTATCCTAGCCATAAAGACATGAATAAAAGGAGCCAGGGCTCTAAATTGCAGAGTCAAGCTAGAAAAGGGAAACTTGTGCATCTCTCTATGTATCTCTTTCTGTTTTGTGTGTTCCTCCCTTTTTGTCTATTTCCCTTTCTCCTATTTATACGGCTTGGAGAGTTATAGCAGAATATGTATGGAATATAGGAGTTGTACCAACATTTTTTAATTTAGCTCGGTTGATTGTGCTGATTGGTGTGATGATCATGTGAGAGAAGATGCTGGTAAGGTGAAACCTGTGGGAATTTGGAGATTTAGTTGGTGTTAGGTAGGAAGCCGGTCTGATGCGGCGAGTAATGACTTGACATTGATCTCTGAGCTCGGTGGTGATCCGATTATGAAGGCTGTCTTGTGGATGAGATGTGTGCTTTTAGCTTGATTTTTGATAGGTCTCACATAGAAAGACTTGACTTTGATGGAGATGAATAAAGACTTGTCTAACTTAGAGATGAACTTTTGTGACTGCTTGGAGGATGTAGCCAAAGGTGATTCATTGTGTTCCAGTGATAACCTCCTTCTAAGCTCCTGAGCTACTCATTCAAACATACTACCTTGAAAGAAGAGAGAATTCTTCTTCCGCACAACTCGAACGTAATCTTTAAAATACCTACGAGAGGATACTTGCCCAAGCTATTATGGGTTTACAATATGTAGAGAGAATCTGTATAAATGATTCAACTATCATTCATAAATTGATGCTTAAATTCTTCATATCCCTATTTTGAAATGGAGCTATATTTAAAATCAGTATAATTTAAAATTCAAATTAATATAAATCCTAAAATTGTAGAAGATAGTCTTGAAAAATAAATACATTAAAATGGAAATACAAATCCTAGCAACAATCCAAAAATATTATAATAATCTACAAAATATTAAAATATTTTTATGCATGTTTTGTACTGCATTACTAAGTTATAAGAATCGTACCATGTCGTTTCATGCTAGAAAATCTACCGAGTTAGTCTTTGATGGTATTTATATATATGATTGTTCATAAATAATGTGGTTAAACTCAACGTATGCTCTTATAAGATGTGTGAATGTCTGTATTCTTTGATATATTTGGCATATCATCTTCATGTTCCTGTAATTTCTTTGTTCGTCTTTTCCAAGGGCATTCTGAAACGTATATTGGCACTTAAAAATCTAACTGCAAAAGTGCTTGCAGTCTGGACTTAATTTACTGTTATGAAAAGCCATCCATGTTTCATAAACTAATTTAGTTTGATAATTTTTTTTTTTATTTAAATGATGAATATTATTTAGCATTTAATTCTTCTTCCAGGGAAACAAATTGTTTGCATTATTTAGAGCATCTAGGTCATCTGAGCTGTATTATTTCATTGTGAATTGAAGCTCTCTTTAGATTGAAATGAATCTTGTAAAATTATCATCTTGATATATTACAGGTTAAACTATCTGACTATATTGGAAAGAAGTATGTGATTCTCTTTTTCTATCCTCTGGACTTCACATTTGTTTGTCCAACAGGTGAATGCCCATATCATCCCCCTATCATAATGATGAGCTTTGAACCTAATGTAGTATCATGAAATTGTTTATTTGTGGCTGAGTATGTCTTTGATGCAGAGATAACTGCCTTCAGTGATCGATATGCAGAGTTTGAGAAACTAAATACAGAAGTGTTGGGTGTTTCAATTGACAGTGTGGTAAGTTTATTCTATAATTGGAAAAACTTATTTATTAGATATATTCTGCTTAATTCTTTGCTTTTGTTTTTGCCAGTGCGGTTGAAAGTTTATTTACTAATATCCTTCTCAAACAGTTCTTAATTCTAAACTAAACTGTTTAAGTTGCTACTTTTATTAATCATTGACAAGTGATACTTGATTCAAAAAGCTAAGATTAGATAGTTGCTCTCTTATCTTTTGCTTAAATAAGGGCTTGACATTTCTATTTTTGGTAATTCCTCCTTTTTGTTGAAGATTAATGGGGCGTTAACAATATGGGATATCCATAGTTTACTGTAGTATTTGGAATCAGAACATGACAGCTCCATGCCTTTTACCGGTTCATGACAATGAACTAAAGATGTATGAAAAAATCATTTGCATATTTATATTAATTATAGAGTTTATTATGAAATTGTTTTAATGCCGTCATTATTGTATTGAACTAACATACTTTAATGCAACTCTATGACTATGCATTTATCCTGAGCTGTTAAGCGTCTTCGTGTTTGTGGGGCATTAGCTTGTTCATGGCTTCTTATGGATATAATCTTACAAGATAGATTGACACTCCTCTCCTAAGATCACGAGAAAGAGGTTTTGTGAGCGTGTGGATCTCTTTGCATATTTTTATGCTATGCATGTCTGTTATCTGGCTAATTAAATTCCTAATCAACTTTCATTTCTTTCAGTTTTCCCACCTTGCATGGGTTCAAACTGATAGGAAGTCTGGTGGGCTAGGTGATTTGAAGTATCCTTTGGTATCTGATGTGACAAAATCAATTGCAAAATCTTATGAAGTTTTGATTTCCGACCAGGTAGTGCTTTTTCAATGTGACAACTGAAAAGATAATTAGCAAATCATTAAAAAGTTGTCATTATGCTTCTGTACATATATGTTAACGTTACAGGGAATTGCACTTCGTGGGCTTTTCATCATTGACAAGGAGGGAATTATTCAGCACTCGACCATAAATAACCTTGCTATTGGCCGAAGTGTGGATGAAACCCTGAGAACCCTTCAGGTATCGATCTTTAGCGCAGGACAACACTCTGCATCTCTATTTGATCATATTTTTGGTTGTATTTCCTCCCAACAATATTTCCACAATTTTGCAAATATCTTTTAGGTTAATTTTAGGGTTCTTGCAACTTCATTTTTTTTTTTGAGTAGAAGTAGGGAGAGTGGGGGTGTAAATGAGCCGAGACAAGTTGTTAACGAGCTCGCGAGTCGAGCTTATTGAGTCACTAGCTTGAGAATAAAGTCGAGTACAAATACTAAACGACCTCGAGTTTTATCAAACTCGAGGCTAGTTGGCTTGCGAACTAACTCGTATTTTTAAATTAAAATTTCAAAAATCTTATTTGATATTAAAAAATAAAAGCTGTGCAACTGAACTGTCATTTTGAAAGCTGGGTCATTTAAAAGAAATTTTGAAAGCTCTGTACGCATAGCTCTTGTTATTTCATTATTAGTGTTTTTATCATTTCTTTATTAAAGGTGTTGTCAACCCTGTCATTTCCTACAAGTTTATTTATTTATTTACAAATCGAGTTGCACGCCTTGTCATTCCTCTATGGTCTCCACCAAGCTCCATTTGTGACTTCCTATTTGGCGAGCTGCTGCTGCAAGGATTCTCCGGCGGGCTTCTCCAACGCTGACGAGCTTCTCCGACAAACTTGAGTCAGAGAGTCGAGCTCGAGTTTACGTTTATTTTAACAAGTCGAGCTTGAGCTCACTGATGATTGGACAAGCCGAGCTTGAGTTAGGTGTGACTCGACTTGACTCGTTTGTACCTCTAGAGGAGAGAATTCATTTATTTTCTTACCCTACTTCACCCTAGGGAGACTATTTATGGAATCCTGAAACTCTTAATGACTCTTTAAATACCTAATAAATACTACCTACCAATGAATCAGCAACACCTAAAATGACCCATTAATTCAATCCTAACATAACAAGGGATGGTGCTTGTTTATTAAGAAGTTGCTTTTTATGTGGTGTGCAGGCTTTGCAATACGTGCAAGAGAATCCTGATGAGGTTTGCCCGGCTGGATGGAAGCCTGGGGACAAGTCGATGAAACCAGATCCCAAGCGCAGCAAGGAATACTTTGCAGCTATTTAGGGATATAAACAACAGTATTGTTAGTACTTTCACCATTACTGTTTCGCAATTTTGCAAGGCTTCGTCTTATTGTGACACCTTCCTGTAATTTGAGGGAAAAAAAAGTATTATGCGTGTTGCAAATGGCATTCTCTTGAATATAATGGAAATGCTGGAAATCAAATATATTAGAAGTTAAGATTGTTCACATGATATATGCCTAGAAAAAGAATACCTGCAATAAATTGAATGGGAAATGATGATTGTTTTCATGGGAAATAGGAGAGACCCTTAGATGAGGATGAGGATAGGTTGGTTTCTTCTTGTATAGTAGTTGTTGGTGGGGAGATTTCATGTTAGTGGTTTTGGATAGAAGTTGATCGTGTTGTTTGCTAAAAATAGAGAGCTCACCCAAAATTTGATAACTTCAGGACGTGAAGTACATGGGTTAGAGAGAACTAATGAAGGGGTGTGGGAATGATGCCATTGTTGATGTGAAATTTTGGTTCAGAGTTTGTCATTTACCACCAGCATGGCATGATTTGGACTAGTAGGGAAAATGTTTTCGGAAGTTATCAAATGTGAGAGTGATATGCAAGGAAGCTCCAATTTCTAGGCATCTGTTAGACATGAGTTGCTATGTTAAGACAAATAGAGATTGTGGCTTGGGTTTAGGGCTGCAAATGAACCGAGCCGAGCCGAGTATGTGATTGTTCATGTTTGTGTTCATTTAATTTCAGCCTGTTCAAGTTTGGTTCATGTTTGTTCGAGCTTTATTGTTTGTGTTCAGTTTGGTTCATTTAAATTAATGAGTGTTCATGTTCGGTTCATGTTCGTTCGTTTAGTGTTTATCGAGTTTGTTCGCGAACATATTAAACGAATTTTTTTTTAACTATCAAACAAATACGTTCATGAACATATCTATATGAACAAACACATTTATAATAAAAGCAATTGTCTATGTAACAAAGATAAGGATTATTTATATTTATTAATTTTATAGTCAAATATTAATTATTTTTATCTAGCTTATTCACGAGTTTAAAATCGAAGACGAATCAAGCTTCTTATAAATAATGCATAGAAATTTAAATATTAATATTAATTAGAATTGAGATGCTCTTGAATTTATTAATTTTATAGTCAAATATTAATTATTTTTATCTAGCTTATTCACGAGTTTAAAATCGAAGACGAATCAAGCTTCTTATAAATAATGCATAGAAATTTAAATATTAATATTAATTAGAATTGGGATGCTCTTGAACTGAATTTAAAAATTATTAATTTAAAATAATGCATAGACATTTAAATAAGGGGCAACAAATATTTAAAATATTGGTGTCTTTTATTGAAAAATTAAAATAAAATTGTACTCAGCATCAATGAAGTTCTGATCAGTGAGCTCAATAATAGTAAGATTTAATCTATGAATTATATTTACCTTTAAATAAATTTAAATTTATTTTATTGATGAAATATTATACTTTTTTAAATATTACTATAAATGTTATTGCATAAATAATAATATTATGTAAATTGATATAATTTCTACAAATAGCATAACGCGTGGAAAAAATGATAATAATTAACTCCTAATTATATTAATATTAAGTTCCTAATTTCATTGCAAATCCTCCTCTCGAATAGAGGATCCTTGTATCTTTGCTATTTTCCTTGCATCTACTAGTAAAATACAAGTTGTTTCTCCATTTTTTCTCTCAGATTTTCCCTGTTTTTCCACTGTTTTTGCTGTTTTTCTTGCTGTGAACAG